CTTTTTTTTTAATGACTTAAGAAAACTATATATTCCTGGGATAGGAAAGAAAAATGTTATTATGCTTATAACAGTTAAATAAATTTAAATAATGCAGTGCACCTATATTTTCAATACTGAGTGAAACCCTGTTTCATCAGCCTCCTTCCAAAGTGGATGTGATCAGGAAAGTTAGAGACAAAGCCATTGATACAGGTGGTAAAAAAAGTTGGATAATACCAGGCAAGAGCAAACAATTAAACTAATGTTCTTCAGTTTAGGAAGCAGAAGTGGATAAAGATGCAGTAGGGTTCTACAAAACGTTGATATCATGAGGAAAGCTGAATAAGGAATTGGTATTCATTACCCAGGAAGTAGAGAATATGAAATAGTATTAGTGGGAAGCAGGTTCAGAACAAAAAGGGGCTTATTTTGGGTTTTTATTTCCACACTTGACTAAACTGTGAAACTCAACATGAGAGGTTAGTGTGAACATAAAAAAGGAAAATACTTAAAAGGCTCAAAAGTGAGTGGAAGAAATACGTGAAGGAAAGTCGTGCAGGACTGTTGAATACAAAGACACAGAGTTTATCTGGGGAAATTCCTGAGCTCAAATTAGAGAGAATATGCCAAAGCTATCATCAAGTATTTGCACTGTTTTAATTTTTTTTCTAATGTCTGTTGTTTGCCATTACTGACAGTGGAGAAACCAGTCTGCAATTTGTATTTGCTCTTCAGCCAGTATTGTTATTCTTACAGTCTTTTTCCTCTCTTCTTTTCTAGGGGAACGAAAAGGACTTTGAAACTGTTTACGAGCAATGTCTTAGATGCTGTAAAGCATTTTTGGAGAAGTATCATTAATGCTTCATCGTATAATTTCTAAAAGAAAATAATTAGCTTCTCCTGAAATATGTAAAGTTTACTTGATTGATGTATTTAAATTGTAAAATTATGCCACTACATTCAATACTTAGTTTAATTTTATATTTTAGTTGTTTGGTTATCTAATGAAAAAATATAGAACAGTTTTAATTGGATTCTATGATCAACCATTTTGTCACACATCAATGTAATTATAAAGTATATAATTCAGGATAAATTTATCTGTAAACACTTCCGGTGCTTTCTCACAAGCACTGCAAAAGTAACACCTTGCTTCTTTATATGTAGTGCTAACTGAACTGAGGTCTTGTCATTCCATCCTCAGTGAGTTGATTTCAGTCAACTTTAAATAGTAGTCTGTGAGATAATAATTGATCTGTAACTTAGATGTGTCATCCCAGTGTCATTAGGCAGCCTTTGGATGGAAGCTGTTCCATGTGGAGTCTGCTAGACTAAAAGATCTGCTGCTTGATAGAACTGGCTGAGTCTTCCTTTGATCCTCTGGTCACTTCCTAGCACACTGACACAAGCACATGTAACACAGCATTTATTTTGAGGAGAAAACATGCCAGCTTAAAAGCTGAAATGTGAAATTTTGTATCTCACAGTATTAAAATACTGGTCCATGCAAACAATGGATGAGAAATTTGCTGTAATTCCAGTTCCTACATGAGGGTCAGACAATAATTCTAGATTTACTCAAGAGAATGTACAGCCTGTCAGAAGTGTTCTTTGAGAGCATAGTTCAGTGTAAAAGACAGTCCATGTGTAACACAGTACTAAGTTAGCAGCAGGCCAGTAAGTAGACAGTTTTGCTCTTGGGCAAAATTTGAATGCTTTGTAAGAGTCTATGCCTGCTTTTGTGAACATCAAGCTTCCTGTCTGCCTTAGACGTGTAAATGTACTGAGATCAATAATATAAGCGATGCCATGATGATTTTCCTGTTTTGAATATTCTCAGCATTGGTATGAATTAGCATTACCACATTATCTGTAAAACTGGACCTATAAAATTTGTTTTCTTATTTGGCCTTGCTTTTGTCTCTTGCTGCCATCCAAACTTGTAGTCTCTGTACTTGTCACCTGCTCAGCCTTCCAGGAGAGATGGATTTCAGCAGAAGATCCTGTTATTCTTGGGGAGGTTGGAATCCTCAACATCTAAACATCTAATGTTGAGAACATGATTGTTTGTTCTTTGCCATTCATGGTTATGTAGGAATTACATATTGTAGTTTTCTCCATATTAATGCTAAGATTGAAAGGTCTTAAATCTTTATCTTTGAGCTTCTGGGGTAACAAAGAAATAAGAGAATATCATTGTTTACCTTCACTAGGCTTAGGAATCTTCCTGTAAAGTGATACTAAGTCAAAACTCATGTTAAATTCAGTTCACATTTTAAAAGTTTCAACCTTGAGACAGATCTTCAGCAAACAATCTAGTGACATAATAATTCACCACCTCTACTTGGAGGAATAAGCTGGTTGATTTATTTTTATAATTAATAATTTTTTTGTGGAAGAGGGGAAGGAGCACTATAGTATTTTATACAAATTTGTAGAAGCCTAGAATGTAGAAGAGGGATTGCCTTCGGGAAGGACAGTTGCACAGAACCATTATTTGTGTTCAAAGAGAAACAGTGAACAGCATTAAGATACAAATCGTGTATCATACAGATGACTAAGCGCTCACACATCCAAAATACCACTCATGAAAAATGTAATTTTTGAATGAAAAAATACAGAACTGACTCCTGTTTCTCCCTCCCCACCCCCACAGCTTGTTATATTTTAAGTGGTACAGTTAAGTCTAAGAGAAAAGCCAGCTATAGTATAGGTGTGTTTTCTGTCAGAGCATGCTGATTTCTGCTAAAACTAGAGAAAACTAATAGGGGATTATTTATATTAATTGATTAAAACCTTAAATAAGTTGCTATTTCCCTTTTACAATGAGATTTTCTAGATTATTATGTTTAGCCAGATTTCAGGTATCCTACTAGAAAAAGAAAGCTTCACAGTATTTTAAACTCCCATGTTAAATATTAGCTTGTGGTCTGGTCAGTGGAACAACAGTGGAGCACAGAGTCCCACCCATGCTTACTGTAGACAAGCGGCTTTAGTGGATCCTGTAGAAGCTGATTCCTTTACAACCAGGTTTTCTTCAGGCATGTATTACATCCATTGAGACATGAAACTTAGCATTTAGTTATCACTTAAAGCAAGTAAAAACATGTACCTCTCCCATGCTAAATACAGCCGTGTTCCAGGATAGGATTTTGTACTTCTGCCAGTTTTTTTCCTTCTTAAGAGTTGGATGCTAAAGGCTCTGAAATATCAGTTTCCAGAATCTCAGCTCCTGTAGTTCTCAGGCTGGGGAGGGTTGTGTTTGGTTTTGGTTTTATATTTTGTGGTTCAGACTGAAGATGGAATGGAAACAGCAAATGCCAGTATTAAGATAAAAGTACCTGTGGTTCATTGTGGTAGGTTGGCCCTGGCTGAATGACAGGCACCCACCAGTCTCTCTTGCTCCCCTATGCAACTGGACAAGGGAGAGGAAAATAAAAGGAAGGGTTCATGGGTTGAGATAAGAACTGCGAGAGGTCACTCACCAAATACTGTCATGGGCAAAACAGGCTCAAGCTGGAGATTTTAACTGAAATTATTACTAACAAATTCAGAGCAGGGTAATTAGAAGTAAAGTAAGACCTTAAAAACACCTTTCCCCTACCCCTCTTTCCCAGGTTCTTCCTCATCCCCCAGCAGTGCAGGGAGGTGGGAATGGGGGTTATGGTCATTTCATCACATGTTCCTTCTGCTGCTGCTCAGGAAGAGGAGTCCTTCTGCTACTCTAGTGTGGTGTCCCTTCCTCTGGAAATAGTTCTCTGTGAACTTCTCCAAGGTGAGTCCATCCCACAGGCATCAGTCCTCCCCAGACTGCTGCAGAGTGGGTCACTCCTGCACAGAGTGCAGTCCCTCGGGAACAGGCTGCTCCAGCGTGGGGTCCCCACAGCTTCTCAGTCCCACCAGCAAAGCTGCTCCAGTGTGGGCTCCTCTCTCCACAGGTCTGCAGGTCCCTGACAGGACCCTGCTCCAGCACGGGCCTCCCAGGGGTCACAACCTCTTCTCAGGCATCCACCTGCTGTGGTGTGAATCCCCTCCATGGGCTGTGGGTGGATCTCTGCATCCCTGTGGTTCTCCATGGGCTGTGGGTGGATCTCTGCATCCTTGTGGTTCTCCAGGGGCTGCAGGGGCACAGCTGCCTCACCTGGGCTGCACCACTGCCTGCAGGGGAATCTCAGTTCTGGTGCCTGGAGCACCTCCTGTCCCTCCTGCACTGACCTTGGTGTGTGCAGAGCTGTTCCTCTCATGTTCTCACCCAGCCTGCAATTACACCTGTGCAATAACATTTCCCTTCTCAGCTGTGTTATCCCATTTCCCTTCTCAGCTGTGTTATCCCATAGGTGTTACCACCATTCCTGATTGGCCCAGCACATCCATCCTGGAGCTGTCTGGCATTGGCTTTGCTGGACCAAGCGAAATGGAGGAAGCTTCTGGCAGCTTCTCACAGGAGCCACCCTGTAGCCCCTCTGCTACCAAAACTTGGCTATGCAAACCCAGTACATGGATTTATAGATTGCACATATAAATTTTCTTCCTGTTTGAGCAATTTTACTGTAACAACTGGATTTAACCTGATTTAAAAAAAGGGAAATGTGTCAAGATTTTTGGAACAACACTAATTCCTTAAAAATTCTACAATACTAATGATTTACTGCATATTTTCTGATTAGCTTGCCTTGCAGTATCATTAACAGACTGCACATTATTAAAAAACAAACAAAAAGCCCCTTCCCAACCCAAACCCCAAACAAAAATCTCAGAACATCTATTAGTCTCAAAAAATATTCCATTTTATAATGCCATAGAGAATTTGAGCAGCCTTGTAGTCTGGGCATTCTGTGGGTTTGAAACAGAGATCTGTCCATCCTCAAAAATCCAGGGTGTCCAGGTTACTGCACCGTTCCTTCTTAAACTAGTGAACTCTTGTGTAAAGAAATTTTAAATGTGGATAAATGATAGTAGCTACCAGAATGTAGTTTGTTTACCTGGAATCAGTGAACAGAAAGCAAACTGAGAACAACTTAATACCAAACACTTTATTACTTACGCTCGTTATTTACATTATTTACATATTGCACGTTCGCTGGAATGTTTTATACATTTATTATATAAAGTAAATTAATGGCAGCTTGTGTTTGTGTACAAAATCCATGCTCCACTGTCCCAAAAAGTATGTCTACTTGGAATTACGTTCCTATTTGTCATGCAATTTGTACTCCAGGGTACAATGTGACCCCAATGCAAGTCTGTTTTAACCAAACTTTTAAAAAAATTGTATAAGCATGAAGGATATCAAGTGACCACAACTACTGTGGAGCAGATCTTTAGTAGTTCTAGATATACAAACAAACATTCCTTAAAACTGTAGAATTAAGCAATAGAACATTAATTTTCTTGGTGAAGTATTTGTGTTTACGTAATTTTTGGCAGCATTACACATCAATTGTAGTGTGTTTTTAAGTATGGAGCATTAAGTACTACTGGCAGTTATGCTACTGTAGAGAATGTCAATCTGCAAACTGTTGATGACATACAAAATGCATGTTAAAAGAATTATGGGAAGTAGTCAATCTGCAAAAATAAATCTCTTGTTCACAATGGAATTCGCTAAAAGGTAGTAAGTTCTATTTCCCTGTTGGTTTCCAAGGCACTTCTCTTGGTTCTTGGTGTTTCTTGTCATGGTAATAACATCTGGTAGATTAAAAGAAAGAAGAAAATAGCCTTTCATCATTTTTATACTCACATACATATATTTCAGAATGTGAAAATATTCAGTAGTAATGTTGGAAGGATCAGTAGTGAATTCCAGATTTAGCTCGGCCCATATCAGCCTGACCCTTATATTAATGCTTTCTTTATTCAAGGCTAAAATTCTGGAAAGCATCACTTTTTCTAATGGTTCATTTTTGGTGGACACATTAGGGAAATCCAGTTCTACATATCAAAGATGTGCTTATAGTTAATCTGTTCCAATGACTGCATCTGTGAAGTCAAAAAGTGAATAAAACTCAGGAATAGCATTAACAGATTGCAAAATGCTGTCTAGTTGCCTTGGTGTCAGGAGCAGTTGATGGCATGTCCAGTTTGAAGGATCTAGGAAGGATCTGATGTTTCATTGGGCCCATTTGTGAAGAAACTTGGAGACAAATAAACAGGAAACAAATAGAAGTACCTTTTTTAGGTATATAGTTGTTGTATAGTAGGTTATAGTTGGTTGTATAGTTGGTTGTATAGTTGGTTGTATAACTATAGCCCCTGGACCATGCCAACACTGAGCCACCACAAAACTAAGGAGCTGAAGGTTTTCATAACCCTACTTCCCCACACCTCTAAAGCTTTTAAGAAAATATTGTGTAACTGCATATACACATATCTAGAAGTCTATCTCTCTCCTAGACAGGTGAGCACTAAATGCTACAAGTCTGTCCACCCAGTTTCATGTGTTTCTATGCCTGTTCTTATTTAGAAGTAAAGTCTATGTCTTCTTAGTCAGCAGGAACTACACAGCTGAAAGACTCTTACATGCAAACAGACCCAGATGAAGCTTTGGTGTCTTACAGCCATCAAAAATTCATGGGGAAGATTAAAAAACAGTGGTAATGTGATACTAGAATTCCACTGATTATATTTTTCACAGTTAAAACTTTCATATTGTCTGTCTGAACATAGGTAACTGTCTTCCCCATAATCAGTGTGAATTCTCTGATACTCTTGAGCTTCTCTACATTTTCTACTGTTTAAGCATAATTTGTAATGGAATCATTTGTATGCAAAGTCAGTTGGACTTGACATAAACCATTGAAAATCAAGCTATTGGTGCATACAGAAATACTTGTTAGTAGTATTTAAACGTTTAGTTTCACAATTTTTGAAAGCTATTAGGAAATGTAATAATGTTACAGAAAATCTTAATGTAATCTAGGGTTTTTTCTGGCTTTGCAGATGGGACAATTAATTTTATTTTTTTTAATATCCTTCCTTAGAGGGGGAAACTGATGTAAATTTTCTTTGTCTTGCATTTTCATGTAGCTTATTTTCTGTAAGTATGCTCCTACTGTACCCTATTTAAGCTATGATGTTAAAAAGTGATGTTTAGGAGAAATTAACATGCTTTTGGTTTGATCAGTGTGTGGTACAATCTACAAGTTAAACACTGAAAATTCAATAAAAACTTTTTTTTTATTTCTAATGGGAATATGCAGCTCACTGGGGGTGAAAAAACACTGGTTAGGATACTCATTTGTCATCTCACCTACACTTGCTTTTGTATGGGTAACTTAACAGTTTTGTATCAGGTAACTCAGTTTTCTAAACCCCTGGAGTTTTCAGAAACCCTTGAGTGGACCCCAGATTTTTAGCATTCATAAATCTATTCTACTTTTTTATTATTATTTATTTATTTAATATAGTTTGTTATATGCATCAGTCTAGGAATATTAGGCTGGAACTTAGCTGAAGGATGATGGATAATCTTAGTGGAGATCCTAAATACAATTTGACTACACCCTCTGTTGAGAACACAGTTAACTATACAACTCCCCAGCCAATTGTGCTTACTTTTAAAAGCACAAATAAAAGCTATTGTAAAGGCATATTACAGCTTTCCAAATTTGATTCTGGTTATTACCTGTGCATGATGATAAACTCTGTAAGAAAAAGCTAATCTATATGGGAAGAATGTAGTGGTTTAAATACCAATATAAACTAAAATAGTGTCAGTATGATTTTGTAGCAGAACCTCCCCATGCTTACATAAAAAAAAAATATTTTCCCAAGTGTGCACACCCAGGTGGAATTCTGCTGTAATGTGATCACAGAGATCCATGCATTGAAGATTATGAAGCTTTTACTGTTCCATTTGGTGCTAGCCACAGACACCTCCTACCATAAACACACGTGCCCACACAGGTATGTGTTGTGACAGTAACATGTCTTAACTCCTGTTTTCACATATTATTTTCTTGTTTGATCTTAGCTCTGATTTTCAATGTCTTATGTGCTTTAAAGCTGTGCTAGTCCAAAATGCACTTTAAGTATAAATAAATATATATGTTTTATTGTCTCCAAACTGATCTCTAAACATGGATAGATGTCCATGGACCTGAAAAATCAAAAAAACTATCAGCCTGCCAAATTAATACTCCATCTATAGCTCAGCCCACTTACAAATCTGCAATGAAACATAAATCAGATACTGAACAAAACAGGAAACCAAATTTGTTTCACACAAATTGAACTGATACAGTAGAAAAGCCTTGAGGAGAAAAGAGGCTTAATCTTGCAGAGACACCTGTGCATCTCCAGATGTAAGTGGTAGAGGATAGTGTTCCTTTTTGCTAATTGAGGCTGCTTAAGGAGTCTACCACTACTGATTTGTGTCTGTGTGAATAGAAGTGGACAGTTGTTGATGACATTGAAACATGTTGAGCAAAGCTTGTTTGAGAGATGGACATTTATGAATAGACTCTCAGCTTGAGATACGAACTATTTTAGTTGCTATTCCTTCATATTACAAGTTCATGTTTACATGACAGGTTGTTAAAATACAGATGAAATTTTCTAGAGAAAAGGAGAAAGAATTTCACACTCTCATATATCTGCTTATTGGTATGGGTAATAACATTATTCACCTATTTGCAAAGTTAAACAAATTATGTCTGTTTTATCCAAAATGGATAGAGAAAATGACTTGTAGAAACCTTTCATGAAATTGGATAGCTCTGTCAGGTTTTCCTCCAGTTATGTTTTCTTTAGATTAAATAATCCTAATTCTTAAAACTGTTCTTGTATCCTAAATTTTCTAGGCCTTTGGTCACCCATGTTGCTCTTCTTTGGACTCTTACAAGAAGAACCCATATGTCTTCAAGTGTGGTGCCCTTAATTAAATATAGTATTTCAGTAACAGTAATTATGTCAGGAGTTTCATAAACAATGATTCTATTTATAAATTCCAGTATTGTTTGACTTTCTTCAAGTGTAACACTGATGACTTGCTTAGTTTGCAGTCCATGACAACGTCTGTGTTTTCAATAGCACTATCTAACTATTCACCAAATTCCATGTATTTCTGCAGTTGAATAATCTTACTGGCCTGAATAATTCTGCTTTTTTTCTGTTATCACGGTTTTATCACTATTTGGCTTATTTTCCAAGATTATTTTTAATTTCGAGGTTGTACTGTATCATGGTTGCTTCTCCTATAATACTGAAATACATAAATACAGTGTTGTATCACCCAAGTTATTAATGAAAATACTGAACAATATCAAACCCATAATGAAGCTGTGTGACACTGGTCAGTACATTTTTCCAGTTTTGACAATGAAGCACTAACAACTTACTTATGTCATGACTTTTTCCAGTCATTTTTAAATTTATCTTGACCCTATTTCCTCAGCTTGCTTGTGAGAGTGAAGTGCAAAAGTGTCAATAAATAAAATAAAATAAAATAAAATAAAATAAAATAGTTATTATTCATTATTTTTATATTTATTATTTTTCTCACTGATTCCTTACAAGATGTGCATTTTTTCACAGAGTTAAAGGATCTTGTCTTGACAGCATTTGTTACTGACAAATCTACATGGTTATTATTTATCCCTTTGTCCAAGATGATATTTTGCCTCAGGTAAAAAGTTGAGGACAGAATATAAATTAGCCTTTCTGTATTCTTATGTTACAGTTCTCTAAAATACAGATAATTTAGGAGTACTTTTTGGTTTGGTTGATTAGCTTTTGTTTTTATTTTGGTGCATGATGAAATCTCCCAAGTAGTTGTGGGAAATAGAGGCTCATCTAGGCAAAGAAGGAGGGAATTAACCTCTAGACATGAGAGGTGTACACAAGGGTATCACAAAAAATCCAAATAGCTGGAAGTTACTTTATCAATGCTGCTATCAATACATTTTAACTGAATTACTATAAAAGCACCTGCGACCTATCTTCATTTATAAAGCTTTGATGTGTATAGCTATGTATGTATTGACTCGTACTACTGAGTACAGCGCGGATCTACAGCTGCACACATAAAAGGGCGGCTGCTGCTGCCAATACAGGCAATTGTGTACTGAGTAAACTCTTGAAAAATAAGCCACAGCTGTTGTGTTTTGTTCTGTAACAACAAATTCACTATCTGCTAACTGTATGCTGCTATAAATAATTCACAGATGATGCATATAGGCGTTTATGTAATGACTTCCAGTAGGGGGTACCCTTTCCTTAATGCCAAAATTTGCCAGATTAAGCCAGTTATTTGAAGTCCTCTGGGAGGGGAATACCTTATCTAAAGGACAGTTGTGATTATACTCCATGAATTTTCATGTATAAAACACAACATCTACTGCTTTGCTATGCAGTGGAATGTCATTTCTTCTAAGAAAAAGCTTACCTTTATCCTTCCATGCACATAGGGCTTACTGCCAATCGAGTAAGAAGCCTGGCACATCTTTTATAGTCTGTATGAAAAAAAAGAAAAGCAAAAAGCATGACTAGATGACCAAAGTAATCAAATTTGCCTTTAAAAATCAAAATCATTTTCAGTGTGCAAATTAGTGTCATAGCATAGTTCAGTGAATACCTTAGTTTGCAACAGAATAAAAATCAACTCATTTGATTTAAAAGAGGAATGTGTAAGGATTGGGTAATAACTAAAAGCCATGTCTAATAGCACGTGTAACTATGCAACTGACTTCTGCACATGTTCTATCTGTAAACAAACAGCATGAATGTGCTTGGAGGCTCTCCATGTGTATGTAGGTATGTATAAAAATTTATACATCTGTGCCTGTGCTTCTGTGCGGGATCTAAACATGTGACTGTAGTATTTCCATATTAGAGAAAGAATAAGTAGTGTTCATCCACCTTTGAAATCCAGCCTTCAATGAGCAAGTCTGTCAACTAAATATTAACTAATGCTACTCTCCAATAGATTTTCTTCCTGGGAAAGCTGTTAAATTAGACTAATAACATCTTGCAGTCATACAAATCTTAAGTCCAGCCCAAGTAGATGACCACATCATAAACATTTATAAGAGCATGAAGTTTCATCTTAAAACTAGTAAAATTGTTTTTTTCCTCTGTAGTCCTTTTGTTCATTGTTCTTATTTTAGGTACTTTCAAGATTTTGATGCATTCATAGTAAGACACAGAACTAATGCAAAACTAAAGAAATTATTCAAAAGGGGATTTTTTTTTCCATTTACATGAAAAACTGAGAGCAAATATTGTGAAAGTTGGTAATGGACAGACAGAAAAGTAAAGTATTTTTCAGATACCAATGCTACTACGCTGTACAAAATACTAGAAAGTATGCCAACACAATGCTTTTGTACTTGCTACAGCAGTAGCCACCACACTGCAGCATCAGAGACACTTAGTTTCTTTGCTGTTTGACCTTCAGATTTCTACACAGAAGGAACAGTATAATTTGAAGTCAAGGTATTTTTAAAAAGTAACATCATTCTGTGCATGAAAAATTAAAGCAGGCTGTTGGTCTCATTTTTCTAGAAGAAAGTTACTTTAAAAAGATGCTAGTCAATCTAGCCCAGTAAGTGATGTTCACTTTTGTTAGGCATTATTTCATTAATGAGTAACTACATTTAATGTTTTCTGGAGATGAAATGTTAACAATCCCCAACTCACAGCATAGTTATGGTATAATTGCCACTCATACAAATTATCCTCTATTAACCAGACATTATGTTGGTGGATAGGTAACCTGTCAGGAGAAAAAGGCTAATTTAGAGCTTTAAAGGACAACTAGTTTTTAGCTTCACAGCATGGAGTACTCATTAATGAAGAGCCAAATGACGTTTGTGTTGTGAAGCTTATGAAAACGGTAATATGTCCATTGCTTGTTCAGAACAGACAAGTTACAAACAACTTATGTCTCTACCCATGTAAACAGAGTGTGATCTGGTTACTTGTCATCTAGAAATCCTTGTCTTTCCAAGGAATTCCTAATCTGAAGCCTTACAAATAGAGAAAATGTCCACAATTCTTACCAAATATGCCTTTAAAATGCACTGGCCTGAAATATTTATTAATACTCGAAACTTGGAATCTCTAACTCTTGTTTCTATTCCCAGCTCCGCTACTGACCCAACTGGTTGACCTCAGACAAATAAAATAAAGTGTGCTTCCATTCTGAAAAGACTGTACTAAAATAGCATCTGCTTACTCAACAGGTCCACCTCAGTATGAATCTGGAGTCACATCTACTGACTGATAAATGTCAATGTTTGATTTTTATTTAATTCTCTGTGCTGCCAACAGTGATGAGGTATCATAAGCTGCATTTGCTTAGTTGGGTCCATCAGCACTTTTATTTCTTTTTTCTAAGCTAAGAAGTTGTACTTTAATAATTCACTGAAGACAAGTGTTGCAAAGATTCATTGTCCACATCACTGGTAGATTGGTAGCTGAATAGAAAATATCTATAAAATGAGTCTTACATAAATAAGCAATGAAAAGTAAATAACCCCACCTGCATTTGTGATTGACTTTACAGCACTAGAAATTAAACATGAAATATTTGTGAGAGGAGTCGTGTTCCTATGAAAAGCAAACACTTGGTTTGGAACCCATGAGACAAATACATCAGTACCTAAGGATGCAGTGTTTACTGCCATTCTACATAGTGTATTTACAATGAGAAAGTTTTATTTCCATTTTCCTCTCTCTAATGCTGATGCTGTTCTGGCAATTCTAGAGTGCATTTTGGTACAATGTACAATGCTTAGTACATTTTTGAGCAGTCCAAGTTTTTCTTTTCAGGGAATGCATTTTGACATTGTATCTCTACTGATACTTGATAGAGCTAATAAATTTTAGAATTTCTTTTTGTTTTAGGGAAGTGTCTGCTTTTGTTACTTACATGCTGGGATGGTGCAGTCCCTTGTATTGTGATAAAGCCGATGAAAGTGTTTGCTACATTTTGGGCTAAAGTAGAGTGGACCTGAAATATAAAGAAAAAAGGTGTGAATCAGCATAGCTCACAGGTAGAGCAGTGTAGCTTATGGTATGTGTATGAAATATGGATACCAATGCAAAATTCAAACATACCTGTTAAATGCTTCAAGAACTTGTCTTTCATCCTCAGATCTCTGGGAACTATTTCTGTTGGACAGAAAAAAGGATAGTTACTCTGCTGCACTGGACCTATGCTTGCCAAGCATAGCATGAGGAGAGGGAATAATCTGTCCAGCAACATCACCACTATGTCTTGACAGGTGCACAAAGGTCAAAAGTCCTTTGCATACAGTAGGCCAAATTTCAAGCATTGACTTTACATAGGGAGACCTTGTAAAATGCTCTGTGAAACACAGTACTGATGGAACAACATCTGTTAGGTGAGAAATCATTAATGACCATGTTTATTAACTAAGAGTCAGATCTTAGCTTTCTGTGAAATACATTATCAAGTTTACCTAGATTTAAATTCTTTCATATTACACGAGTGGTAAAGACCCAAAGATATATTCAAGTCTGGTGTTGTGTCTTTTAATTCTCTTATGCAAATGTAACCACTATTCTGTCCCAGGTATGTCTGTAGAAGCACTGTTCTACTCTAATAATGAAGCTGGATTGATCTACTTACAGGAATCTTCCCTCCCTCCCCACAGCAGTAAATAAAATTCACAGGAAATGATTCCAAGCAAATTGCTCTCTTCTGGCTCCCTATGTTTGTGGTTTACCGCCTTGTGTTTTGTGTTCAGCAGATGGCAAAATGAAACTGGTTTACTGAAATCCATTTTAGCCCTAACCCCTGCTTGTGACTTCCTGATTTACAGCTATCTTTGATTGCTTTCCGTTACAAACTCTATGCTGATAGCTTAGTGCTGATTGTGTATGATACACTATATGGTGCTTTATTTATTTACTTGACCATGAATGCCTGAGCAGTCTTTTTCATTCCCCTGGCACCTCTTATCAGATATAAAGCAGAGAGCATTTCCATCCAGATCCGATTCACTTGTGAATTTAGACACTTCTCGAAAGTCATTCTTCATTTACTTCTAACTTTAGTCAGTGTAAGTAAAATTGACCTTATCCTATTTGACCTAATTATGTCATGAAGAGCATTAAAAACACACATGCTTCACTCAGAAATTTCCCATGAGACAAGCTCACTAGGAAAGTGATGCCAAAACTGAAATAAAAGACTCTAACTAGTAGTTCCTTTTCAGAGTTGCTGGGAAAAACTCCATTATAATAACAGAATGAAAAATCCTGCTTCAGAATCAGTAACAACACTACCAACTAATCTGCTCTGAAGGAGGATTATTAATTTCATAGATAACTGTTCCACACAAGCCAGATATTTCACACCAAGAGGGTGACCAAAAACTATGTCCACATTCCAAGATGAGATTTAGAGTTCTGCAGATCACAGTTCCCTGTTTAGTCTGGCCTCTTTGACACTTCAATGTTTGTAAAATAAAATGTTCTCTCCTGTGTTGACCTTAAGTAGAACAAAATTGTCTTCCTCTGTGCATTCATTAATCATCCAAACGGAAGAAGCAGCATCTTCATGACAACCACCAATAATTGCAAATTATTATTTGAGTATGAATGAGAATGACAAGAAGGTACAATGAAGCTTTCTGAGATCAATAAAGACAAAATAAATAGCATACTATCAAAATGAAAGCCAGTTTGGGAATAGGTGAGTAGATATTTGCTGGAAAATATTCCGAAAGTCGCTTTCAGTTGGAGGGGTCAGATGAGCAGCAGTAATGCTGTGGGAGCTTGGGAGTGACAGGGAACACTAAGTTAGACATGGCAGCAGGAGAAACTAAATCAAGTTTCAACTGTGTGCATGGAAGTTCATCACCTAACTAAGCAGGTTAGAGAAGAGCCAATCAAACCAACAGAAGGATGACTGCAGGAGTGTCCCAAACTGGTCACAGCCTGTACACTGAGAGAAAAGTACAGTCTCAGTTCCCTAGTATTTCAAAGGTGCTACTTCTGGAGTACAAAAGGAATTAACAAGCAGGGAGAACAGTTCAGTGAAGCCTGAGATGCAGGGAAAACTTCTGTACATAAGCTCTTTAAGGAGATACTACAGTCCTGCAGAATTCTTGCTAGGGTCATTTCCAAGAAACACTTAAACCAAGCACATGATAATAAGTGGTAACTTTCCAGGAAAAAGTGTTTTCATTCCTTGTTTCTTTGATCTCAGCCCATTTCAGTCTTTTGCCATATTATTAGGTTTTGTTCAAACCGACAGGAGGTTGGACTTTCAGTTGAATACATTATCCAGAGAGTAAAAGACTCAGAGAGGTGAATGGAGGTTTTCTATTCCAAATTTGCCATCTGTGTCTATTTCTGATACCAAAAGGAATCTGCAGGTATTTTGAGTGGTGAAGTCTTAATACAAAATTAGTAACTTGATGCACTATCTTATTCAGCGACGTACCCTAGGGAAAAAAAAAATGGACTGTGACTTACCAACTCTCTGCTCATCCTGGTATCCTCCGTAGTCAGCCACTTCTCTTCGATCCAAGTTATAGTCATGCTTGGAGAAGTACTGCATCCCACTGTCCTTCTCCAGGTGGTACCTTTTCAGTTCCTGAATGATCTCCATGATGAGATTTAAGAGACTTTGCTTGTCCTTCAGATCTGTGGAGTCCGTTTTTTCTTTGCAGTATCCTGCTGAGAGCATTAAGAGTACCAGCCCCAGCAGCCCAGAAGACCTGAGTCCACTCATTGCAGTCCGACCTGAAGAGTGCATGAGCGGATGAAGTGGAAGTATCCGCTGCTTTGTGAGGTCTCCTGTTTCACTGGAAGAGAAAATTGGGGGTGGGTCGAAGGTGGGGAGACTCGTGGGGGTGAAATCGGAAACATTAGCGGAGGAAACAGCGGCGACCGCTTGGCAGGTTACACAAGGCGGGGGCACAGACCGCTCCGGGTGGCGGGGGCTGGCGGAGTGGGACGGGGCGGGGNCCGGGCCTGCGGCGCTGGCACGGGCGGGGCGGCCTCACGGACACCTCTGGAGTGCCTGCAGGCGGGCCCCCAGCCACTGAATCATTTCCATCGATCTGTCTTCAAAACAAATATGTGGATGGCACATGTCTCTAACTACATAAATATCAGCCTGTGCTGTCACAGTGAAGGTACAAAAACATTAAAAAAATAAAAAATACACACCACACGATGAAGAAAGAGACCCAGGGCAAGACTGAGCAAGACTGCTTTGTCAGGTTTCCAGAATCCTTCCTCCTCTTGGCTTCATGGTTTGTTTCCAGTCACCTTAAGACACGGGGGGAAAAAAGAAATTTAACAATCAGTGCAACAGTTTGAAAGAATGTCCTTTTGCATGACATAACTTGGTATAGCTGTATTTACATGTTAGTCATTCCAAATATTGACACATTGAGGTCACCAATTGGAGAGAGGGAAGATGGAAAACGAGGCAGGCAGAACACGGCCTGGTGTTCTGTTCCTAAGATAACACTGCAAGTATTCTTTCACCCAAACTAATCTCTTTGGGAAAAGAGAAGAACTGAAAGAGGATTTCAGCTAAACACCTAGGTGGATTCTCCCTTTCCTTGCAGCTACAATTTCCATGTTGTTTTTGGTCACTGTCATGTAAAGAAGGAGCAGCCTGTGTTTTGAATACACACCAGTTCAAGTCAGGAATACTAGGCTGCATTTTTTCTTCTGTCTTAGATGTATCCAGACATGCCTGTTTATGTCTGGCATGGAGACCAGCTGTCAAGGAACAACCAGAAAATTGTTGAATAATATGGTTTATGTAGCTGTCTTCCCTTTGAAAAGACAGTGGACATTAGCAGAAACCGCATTAATCCCTCTTATGAGATATCTCTACCATGACTCTGAGAATGGGATAGCTGGAACTGCCCTAAGACACACCAAGGACAAGTTAATGTCATAAACAATTGAATTCAAATGGTCAGGAATGCTCCTTTTAAATTTACTAATATAAACATAGACTCAAAGTACAATGATGGTATTAGCTGAGATATGAGGTAGATGAACAGTTTGTTGTCTTTTTCTGCATGTAGACTCTGAGGCAAGGGTGTGTTCTGATTTGTTTACCTTAAATTTTACAAAGATATAGAATAGCTCCCATGACTTCAATAGAATTAAACTGAAATTCCCGCTGATAGGTTTAGGATGGTAATTTAGTATTCCAACAGGTTATATTTTCTTAAGTAAATTTTCTTAGGGCTCCATCTAAGTTAGCCATCTACTTGATAACTGCCTATATGTTACCAAGCTCCTACTCTGCCTATATATTGTCAAAACTACAATCCCCAAGCCTTCTATCTACCCTCAGTGTGACTCCTGAGGCTTCTAAAGTGATTAGGTACACTGTTTGTCATGGCTGCTCACAGGTTCTTGGACTTCTTCCCTGGATGCTGGGAAGTGCCTGACTCTTGTCAACACTAAACAGCCAGGATGGTGAAGGAAGCATTCTTCCAGGAATTGCAAGATGTAAGTTTTAATCCCTTCAGGAAGAGATGAAAGATGAACACACCTTCCCTGCCAGGACAAAAACCTGCTTGCTTTCCTTGAAAGAAGGTGGAGAGGGACATATGAAACTCAGTCTCAAAAAGAAACATGTACCTGGGAGAGCAAATCCCTAGTGTTAATGCTATGCAATTAGGTTTTTTTGGCTTGTCCTGGAGGAGTGGTTTTCATTTAAAAGTGATGGGCTGTTTTTTTGTCTTATTTTTACAGGACATCAAGTTAGTTAACTCTTCTACAATCAAAATCTGTGTGTAGATTGATCTACAATGTTACTAAAAATGCGCTGTCTTTAAACTAAACACTGTGACCTTTGGGATAAGGACTTCATGAAGTAAGCATGCACAAATGAGATCAAATGCAGCATTTGGTGGATAGTTTTAGCCAGTGAACCCTTCCTTGTTCCCGTGGTTATGAAACAAAGGCACTACATTTGGGATTTGGAACATGCCAGGCAGAATTTCTAGTTTTGTTAAATAACACACATTAGTCACTGTTTTCACCAATTCCGTTCTAGTATTCCATTCTAGTATGCCATGCTAAGACAGAAATGGAAAGATATCTTGAGTTCCTTTACTTATATGGTGTACATGAAAACAAGAAAATGTGTTCTCTTTGGTTCTGTTGTCTAAGACTGGTGAAATTTTCATGCTAAGAGCCCTACAGTTTTAAGCATGCTCTTGTTCCAGCTGATTATAACAGACATAAGGGTTCCTATCTATATTTAATAATAGCAAGTGCAACATTTTCTGAAGTGATTGCAGAGCAGAGATGATTGTCTAAATCAGGCTCATAACCAATATATGAACTGAGTGTATGCTTAGAAGAAAATTCCAATGGATATTTTATTTGACTAGGCTAAATAAATACTTCTTGCATTGCTCTTTATTGACCTCAGAACCTCAAAAAATGTTTTGAAATACATTTTCTCTCTTAAATATCACATCAACTTACAAAACTCTTGGTTTAAAAAACAGACTTTTCACTCCTCAGAAAAGAAAAGCTGTATTTAATCTTCGGGTTACACACCAATCCCAGTAGAGGTTAGTATTATGGAATGAGATGGGGATGGTAATTCTGCTGGGTTGAGTGGGTATCAGTTGGTTGACATGGCAATTCAACTCACAAAATGTTGACCACACACACGGAATCTGCATGTGTGATAGTTACTTTTAAAATCTAAAGAAAAATACATGCACTGCATCCAACAGAACAGATGATACTCTCCACAATCTCTGTTCCTAGTTAATGAAAATGCAGAATGTTTTCCATATAATGTATTGTACATAAGTATAAAATAATATTTATGCACCTGGCTCAGTCATCTCTCTGAGCCTCCAACTCTCAGAGGCAATGCCCAATGACAGCTGCCGGGGAGACTAAAGATGAGGCAGTAAGAATTCCTATAGCACTGAAATCAGCCAGAGAACATATATAACTAGAACAAAAACTTCAACAGATGTTAGGGGCATTAAAGCCAATTGAGCATTTTAAGGGCTTTCCCCACTTCCTACCTGATGCAAATGCCAACAAGATTATACTCCAATTAATCATCACTGCAACCAAAACTGAGTAACTTTGATACAGTTCCCAAATGTTTCATCAGAACTGCAGCCAGGGACAGCTTCATATTTGGTAGTAAGTTAAAAAAAGAAACCACAACAAAAATTCCCAGCCAGATTTTTGGCTAGAACTTTTCTCTGCCTGTAAATTCAAGGCTAAAGACAGCTCTGAGTTGGCGAATGCATCAGTTATTGAGACAGTTATTGAGACAGTTTTAAAGTTATGTTCAATCAGCTTTGCAGTGCTGCAGCAGGGTAACAGTGCTGCACCAGCACAAAGCTCCTCTGGGAATCCTACTGAACCAGCAGGAGGAAATTTAAGTCTTGAGAGGATAGTCTCACTTTTTTAGATGCTTTTCATGAGTTTCAGGATACCCCCTGAAATCTCCAGAGACCATCCCTCTGAATTATTCTGTATTTAGGTTTTCCAGAATACTTTCTTTTACACAGTAAAGATAAATGCCTCAGCGAAGCAAGTTAAACCTCTCCAACTGTAGACTATTGCCTATAGGAATACACTTAGACCAGACCCCAAACTTTCAAGCAGGTAAGTGAGGGTAGGGGTTAATGCCATTCCACGAAACTACCTTCCATAACTACTGTGCAGCTCTGAGCCTGCTACATGTGGGTTTACTGCAGACTCCTATCTGTTCACTTAGAATTATATAGCTGCAGCCACAGAAACTCTTTCTACATCAAATGAAGATTACAAGTAAAAGCTCTAGCTGATGTCTCATTAGCTGATAGAGTGCATTACATTTTCTGGCCTACTCTGGTCTTTCTGTGCCAAAGGAAAGAGGATAGCTTCAGTGTACGTAAGAATTTAGTAATTTTAGAAGCAGAGTATCTTCGTCTTTCATCAGAGCCATGGTTCTCAGCTCAAAGAGACAAGTGGATCGCATGTGTTTTTTACAGCCATGACTGATAAATGATGGCATGTTTTGATAGTGTACTCTAAATCTGAGAATTTTATCTCACATTGTCTTTGCACCACTTGTTAAAAAATTTATGCTGAAAAACAAATGCCATCTCAGGCAACATAAGGATATCCCATATGACTCACCATCAGCATATGAATGCTAAGTACAAACATTGAGAACTATAAAAAGCCGAGGTACTTGTTTCCTTCTGCAGGTCATCAGTAGGCAGACACACTGCTGGTTTAGTGAGCAGGCCTCATGTCTATCCAGTGGAGAGCTGGATGACTTTTTACAGATCAGATGGAGAGCAGGCCCTTTGGCCATACTGTATTCCAGAGACCTCTTGTAAGCAAGCATACCTGGTGGAAGATCATGTGCCTACAAAAGTTGCTGAGGAAGGAAGCGGGGTTAGTCCCCTTCTAGGCAGCTATTTTTCAGGCCATAAACAGTTCTACAACTACTGTGCAGCACTGAGCTCCCTACACATGTTCACTGTTGACCAGAGTTTTTTTTCTCCCAGGAAACAGAATTGCAGTCCCATATTGTACCTGGGCAGCTTCCTCATTACCAGCTTCATAATGTGATTAAGCTGTCTTCACAGTAAAGGCAGAAAGGTTATTCAACAGCAACAGATGGCTATTAAGAGCTGTCTTTAGATTTCAGAGCCCAACTTGTACCTTTTCTTGATTCTGCATTTGAGGTGATGCAAAGATATTAAAGTGCAGACTATATTTACAATATACTGCATTGTACATCCACAAGATGAAGGTTGTGAATATTGTCTCTTTGTGTATGGGAATTTGCTGTCCTTTAAAGGAGAGAATACATCCAGGTTCAGCCTGACTGCGGGAAGCCAAGGATCTGGAATACACAGGATACATCTGCAGGAATAAATATAATGCGCTCAAGAGCACTGAAGAAAGTCTGTGGCACTTAAGCCAGCTGGCACAGGATAGGCCACATCCATTCTGTCCATCCTTCTTACTGCCAGCAACAGGACAGCCCCTTACGCAAACTACTCATTAGGAACACTTCCTGGGCAGCCTTGCTTCCCAACAGTACACAGGGATCGATCAGGAGAGTTGTCACAGACTAACCACGTTCCAGGGACTGCCCTAACAATTTAACTGTATTGACAGCTGGGTTCCAGTGCCAGGAAACGTCCCTGGCAGTTTTCATATTTGTCTTCCGGTATAGTCACAACCTGTGGGTCCCACCTGTATTGCAAGGGGTAGAGGCAAAAGCTTTGGGAACTCTTACCACTTGTAGAATTGACATGAGCCTGTTTGCATCATGTCATAATTAGAATGAAATAAGCATCAGAATCAGGGAACTGCAGCAGGTTCAAAAAGTAACCTCAAGACTTGAAATGGCTTTTAAAAAATAATTCCATGTCTTTATGGTCAGGCAGTTGTACACAGCTTCCACTGGAGGCAGCAAAGAATCAATGCAAGTTGGGCAGAACCACAGTGAAATCAACTTAGTTACATAACTTAATAAAAAGTGGTTTTTTTCTTTTGCCCTCTAATCCTCTGTTTTTATAAATGTAAGATATTTTAGCTCTTGTATGACAATGGGCCAAAATTAACAATATCTTTCTTTTTATTAAAAAAAAAATAAAAAAATTCTATATGACCATTACAATCTGGTCTTTCTCCTAAGACAGAAAATTACTTTGTTTCACATTACATTATTTTTAAAAAACTATAACATACTGTGAAGGTTTTGCATGGCTGGGTTTTTTTTTTGGGG